CATAGATGTATATGAAATGTGCACATACAACAATTTACAAACAACATTCTTTTCAATCAAGACAATGCAATCCCATGTTAGGGATTTTACCATATCATGCTATAAAATGAGATGAGATGAGACTCACTCATGCATTTTAACTCGAATTCTTACCGACTCCCATAACACAATGCAATGCACTTGTATAATGAATCCGTCAATTTACGAAAATACATCCAATGACTGTTTGAAATAAAGTTGTGTTTTTATAAAACAAAATCATTGATGGATGTTACCCATTGAATGACCATTTTATAAAATAAAATCTTGTGTCTTTGTTGGGCAACGGATTTTGGTATCACAACCGCCGATTCTGTACACCATCACAATTTTTCAAAATTTCACCTCAGGGGAGTGTGTGAACCAAGTAGCCTGGTTTTGTACCCGAGGGAGAATCTAACCCTTCTTGTTATACCCGACACAAGTTTTTCATGAATGTAACCGTGCGACTCAGTCGGATCTTCAATCCAACTTTCTCGAGCCCACTCATCAAGCACCAAGTATGGTGTTGATTAAACCATGCACCCACACCCACACTGATGCCTCATGCTCATAAATGTGATGCCCCCGTGCAAGTGCAATGTAATATACCATTGCAATATCAATGTCATGCCCATATGTAATAAATGTCATATGAGCAATTTCCACCATTCTATTGCCAACTATATCAAAAACATATATTAACATTATACCCAACAACAAATTCCAAGCATGTTAGCACATAATTTATGTCAATAACACACTTAATTCACAAGGCACAATATAAACACATAGCATGCCCACATAATGCCAATATCCCAGAAATGACACATGTAACTTCCACATATCAATTTCAAGCTAGAATTTGGTTTTAGACCAATTTCTATACCCATTTCCTCTTTTCCATAACCATAGGCAAGTTTTCATTCAACACAATATCCAAGCATGGTATACATAGTCCATGCCAAACATACTTAATTTTCACCTAGGCATTTAATCAAACACCTTCAAGGCACCACTCATGTAAACACATAATACACTCAATTTCATTATATAGTTCAAGAAATCATATTAAGTGATTTCTACACATCCATTTCAAAATAGAAATTATTCTACCAATTTCTTACACTTCATATACACTAGTGGTACATTAAACAAGAGAATTTGTCTCAAGTCATGCTACCCATTCTCAATACCCATTTCACCAAAACAAAAACAATAGGCAAGTGACATATAATTCTATACACCTACCATTCCATATCACATTCTTAGGTTGAGAGAAAATCTAAGTAGGAGGGAACCCTACCTCTTGAAGCGTAAAACACCCGTAGGAAGCTTCAAGAACACAATTCAAGCCAAAAATTTTGATTTCTCCAAAATTTCCCCTTTAGATCTTCGATGAAATCTTCAATTTTTGGTATGGTCTTGTAGCCCATGTCGAAGAGAATACTTTTTTTTTGGTCCAAGTTGATTCGACCAAAGCTTAGCCCTAGATCGCAAGAAGAAAGGCTTGAGAACCCTTATTTTCTCTCTTTTGCTCCCTCTCAGTCCAACATTCAGACCAGCAGAGAAAAATCAGTGGAAAATCAGATTTCTCCACCTATTTATAGTCCCAAAACCGTTGGCTCACAATGCGCCACACGACTCATATTTTCGGGTCCGTTTTTGTCTCGAAATAATTAAATTTCGTACCGATTTAAGTTTAAAATATTTTATATGAACTTTATTTAAAATATTTTTCAACTTTTAAAATTTTAATAAAATTTTTATTTTTGGGGTTCACCCGGACACTTGTTACATCGAAAAACATAAAAATTCAACTATCTCAAAATTCGACGAAATTTGTTTGGATAACTAGATTTCGTAAGACGAATCCAACAGTGAAGTCTGTTTCATCGTCCGACCTCTAGAAAAATTCAAGTTTGCAACCCGTACCGTAGTGACAAATTACCGTGTTGTCATTTTTCATAAAAAGTTTAAATTTTACCCGAGTTTTATAATGTATATATATATATATATATATATATATATATATTTTGGAAAGTGATTTTGTTTTCTAATTATATTTAATGTACCTTGATTCAAGCTTGTTTTTTTTTTTTTAGGAAAATGGTTTTATTTGCAAATTAATTTAATATCCGAATAATGTAATAGTGTACAAAAACAGTGTAACAAATACACTATAACAAAAACAATGTTCAGTAGTTTTGTGTATGTGGGTAACAAATTCGAAACGAAGGTGGACTATTTTGAATGAAATTATATGAAACTATATGTTTGACAAAATGTATTAGTACAATATTTTGTGTAAATAGTTTGTTACACTGTTATTGTTATACTATTACATTTTTATTGTTATACTGTTACATTTTTATTGTTACATTGTTATTGTTATATTATTACACTATTCAAATATTAAATTAATTTGAAAATAAAACCATTTTTTAAAAAAAAATGTATGAATCAAGGTGCATTAAAAGATAATTCAAAATTTAGATAAAAGATTTAACAACAAGTATACACATACATACATACAAAAATGCATATATAATATATATATATATATATATATATATATATATATATATATATATATATATATATGTTTAATGCACCTTTTTTCAAAGAAAATTGGTGCATTAAATACGCATGGATTAATGGAGGGAAAAATGTCACAAAAAAATCAGTAGAATTCAAATAATGTACTTAGATACAAATAAATATCAAAATTAAAGACTTAATTATCCAATATTTTTTTATGCATTTTTTTACAATTAAGTCAAATTGAGTGTACCTCCTTACAATTTCCCCGATTATATAAGATAACTGTTTTGGACAGCGCCAGCACAGGCCTGGCCGAACACAAAAGCGGGCCTAGCCTTAAATTTGTTTAGATGGGCCGGCAAGCCATGGGGCAGTTGTGCACACCAGGGGCTTTTCTGTCATTTCACAAGCAAACTCAAATCTAAATTCAAACGTGGCCACCTCGCATTGGAGGAATGACAAACCAGAGACTCAACCCCGCTACCAAAAACCCTCATAAAACGCAAAAAAAATTGAAATAGAACTGAAAGAAACAGAAAAGAGGAGAGAGAAAACACACACACACTCNATATATATATATATATATATATATATATATATATATATATATATATGTTTAATGCACCTTTTTTCAAAGAAAATTGGTGCATTAAATACGCATGGATTAATGGAGGGAAAAATGTCACAAAAAAATCAGTAGAATTCAAATAATGTACTTAGATACAAATAAATATCAAAATTAAAGACTTAATTATCCAATATTTTTTTATGCATTTTTTTACAATTAAGTCAAATTGAGTGTACCTCCTTACAATTTCCCCGATTATATAAGATAACTGTTTTGGACAGCGCCAGCACAGGCCTGGCCGAACACAAAAGCGGGCCTAGCCTTAAATTTGTTTAGATGGGCCGGCAAGCCATGGGGCAGTTGTGCACACCAGGGGCTTTTCTGTCATTTCACAAGCAAACTCAAATCTAAATTCAAACGTGGCCACCTCGCATTGGAGGAATGACAAACCAGAGACTCAACCCCGCTACCAAAAACCCTCATAAAACGCAAAAAAAATTGAAATAGAACTGAAAGAAACAGAAAAGAGGAGAGAGAAAACACACACACACTCTCGATCTGTTGTCTCGCTCACTTTCTCCGTCTCTCACCTTAAATTCCTTCAATTCACCATCCAATTACACCCTAACCCTAGATCCCCAATCTCTCTGTCTCTCTCCCTCTCCCTCTCCGTAGTTATCTATATATATATATATATAGATATCCATCTATACGTATAATTATCTGTATCTATAGGTCTGTGTGGGGGTGATCCACATGGCGGCTATAAAGGAGGTGAACAGATCGGCGTCGGTGGCGTTTGCACCGGATGGACCGTTCCTGGCGGCGGGGACGATGGCTGGGGCGGTGGACGTGCACTTCAGTTCTTCGGCAAATCTCGATATCTTCAAGCTAGATTTCACTTCCGTCGATCGTCAGCTTCCGTTGGTCGGGTCGGTGCCGAGCTCAGAGCGGTTTAATCGGCTGACTTGGGGGAAGAATCCTACGAATTCAGAGGAGTTCTCTCTCGGTCTCATCGCTGGTGGATTGGTTGATGGCAACATCGGGATTTGGAATCCTAACGCTCTGATCTGGTAGTGATATTGTTCGTTGTTGTTTTTTAGATTTGAAATGTTGAATTTCGGTGGAGATTTGATTGGGCTGTGTATAGAACTTATGATTTTCGATGCGTACACCGCTGGATATAAATAAAGAAAAAAAAACCAAGTGTTTTGGTGAATTTTCCAAGTATTTTTATTTGGATTGATATGCACAGGCAGGAAAAAACGAACTGCATGTGGTAGGAGAGGATTTTCATGTTCTTTGACCGAAAAAAAATGAATTTCACAGGCTGACTTATCCATTATAGATTATTCTGTTATAAAAATGGATCTTTGTAGAATTTAATTCTCCATATTTGACTTTCACTAATTTATCAGCAATGTGGCCTTTCTCATTTGCACAAAGATGGGTTTTATTTAATTTCACAATGCCACAGTGTGTCTGTAAACTGTATTGAAATGTATCTCCCTCATCTGCTAATTAGTCATATAGTCTTATTTCCAGTCATATTTTTGTAAAATAAGATGTTAATATGGCGTTGCATACATGAATACTATTTAAATCTCTTATGAGTTATGGCATTGAAACGCAATAGGAAGTAATATGAACATGTATGCATGGGAGAATAGTAGGGCTTTCAAGGTTCCCCTCCAAAAAGACGACTTTGATGATTCATTTTTTTGTGAAAATGTAGTAGAGATTTGTGATGATCACTAATGCTATCATTTTTCATTATATCTTTTGGGAACATAGGGTAAAAAGCTATCCAACTAATTACGAGTGTATGAACATAACTATAGTTTGTAGTAAGTATCTTGAAAAGATTAATATGAATGTGACATGCTTGTCTCATTCCAAAATTATAAGGTTCAATAGTGTTTCCCCCCAAACTGCACTCAACAAAGCATGTCAATCATTTCCTTGAACCAAAACCAGAAAGAAACTATGAGATTGGACAATTTTTTTTCTTTTAATCTTGACATTGCTTGTGGTTGGTTTTTCTGTTGATTAATGAGAAAGTGAAGTTATTGGATTTCATAGCCACATATTTTATATGAATTGATTGTTTTCTTCAAATGAGCAAAAAAATATTTTTGCGAGGTTAGGTGTAGCCGAGTATGTGGATTATCTATAAGACATTAGATGTTTGCACATGACTATGCGGTCTAATGCAATAAATGAATGCATTGCCATTTTTTTTTAATTTAATGTGTTCAACATTCTTCTCCCCCCTTGCCCCATCCCATGGCGCCCGCGTGGGCAATAATATGTGTGTACATTGTGAAATTCATGTGTTGTGCAAGTATTTGTGAATTATGGTTCAGCGTGTGCTGTCTCCTTTTTTAGACAATAGAGCAGTGCATTACATTTTGAAGCCCCATATTATCTCATGGTGGACATATCATTCATTGTGTTATATTGCACTTAAGATTTGTTGGTTGTAAATAATGGAATTTCTATTTACCAAGGTAAATAAATGTTGATAATTGATTCTGCTACTTTTGTTGGTACCGTTGTTGCTATATCATCTGTTCTAAAATGTGACCAAATAATTTTCTTAATTTTGTGGACCCCTGATGTGATGTTTCATTTTTTTACTTCTTCAGCTCTGAGGCAAGTGAAAGTGCACTCATACAACATCTTTCAAGGCATAGAGGGCCTGTAAGTCACCATATCTTGCATCTAATGCTTTGTTTTCTGCTGGTGCCTTCTTTACTTGACGTCTGATGATAGCATGACGTTGTTGCATCTACGTTGGATATCCTTTTCAGGTTCGAGGCCTGGAATTTAATTCTCTTTCGCCTAACCATCTTGTGTCTGGGGCTGATGAAGGTGAAATCTGTATATGGGATATCTCAAAACCTGCAGAACCTACCCATTTTCCTCCTCTCAAGGTCTGGGGTCATATTTTGTCATTTCTTGTGCATGATGTTACCTTAACAACGCTGTCCATTAAGTTACATTTTTCATGAAATAATACCCAATTTACACTTTGTAAGGTAAAATGTATTCAGCCAGTAGTATTTACCTTAGGAAATGGTTGCTTGATTAGTGGAGTTTTAAGTGCTACTTTTCTAAAGGAGTGGTTGATACCTGAACTGTCAATGCTTCGTTGCTTGAGAATCATTTGATTCCCTCTTTTCTTTTTTTTTTTTTTTTTTGGGTTAGACACTATGACAGGGGAGGGGAACAACGGGGTTTGAGCCTACGATCTTAAGATCCATTTGGGGACTGTGACCATTAGGCCTACCGCTTACCTCCATTTGATTCCCTCATTTCTCTTTGTAATTGACGCCGAATGCATTTTTAGTTTACTTTTTGTTTCGGGAGGTTGACATCATGTTGTTCTTTAATTCTTGCTTTTGGATCAGCTTTTCTTTCTTTGTTTGTTGCAGTTGGAAGGAGCACAGTATGAGAAGTTTTGAGAGTTCTGCTCTCATTCTCTGGGAGATTATTTTCTTAATTATTTTTTTTCACTTCACCTCAATGTGGTTTGCCTGCTTTCATATCTGTATGTATTGAAATACTTGGTGTATGGTTTACACACCTATGTATCACGTTATAGTTATACATTGTGAGAGTGCATAGCGTGGCATTTCCCCCCTTTGGTGGTGGATTGTGAGATTTAAGGCTTTAATTTGCAAGCTTGTCAAGATCTATTCTTATGTTAATCGCATAATTAGCTATTAGTTATTAGATATAGTGAGAGTAGAGAGTTTTGGAAACTATATATCTGAAGATGAAAAGTTAAAGGTTGAATTAATTTGGAGGTTTGCATTTGCATATCATGGTCCAAGGTCGTGATATTGACCATCAAAGGTATTGAGACTAGTGACGATGTCATAGCACGGTATTGGGTGATATCTATGAAATTATAGACATAAAAAAATATTGAAGATGAAGATTACTTGGACAATTCAGTTGGGTCATCCAAAATGTTTGGTTTGAGTGAGACTTGTAAAAAGAAAGTGTATTGGTCTTGGAGAGGAAGGTGTTGTTCCAGCTACGATTTACCGAGTCATTCCAGCATCAGTCGAGACTTTGTAGCATCTTGCATAGCAGACGACTTCCTTTTAGAAAACATTATTATGTCCTAAAGCTGGAAGTATGTAACATTTTGGGACATGGTACTACTACTTTCAGCACAGGGACAATTTGATCTGGAATAGGCTTGGGAATTATCGTATTCTAGTTGTTCATTGTAGTTTAATTTCCCAGAGAATTATTCGTTATCTAGTGTTGTGCATGCAAGTCGTGCGCCTGCATGTACTGGACAGANGGCTCACAATGCGCCACACGACTCATATTTTCGGGTCCGTTTTTGTCTCGAAATAATTAAATTTCGTACCGATTTAAGTTTAAAATATTTTATATGAACTTTATTTAAAATATTTTTCAACTTTTAAAATTTTAATAAAATTTTTATTTTTGGGGTTCACCCGGACACTTGTTACATCGAAAAACATAAAAATTCAACTATCTCAAAATTCGACGAAATTTGTTTGGATAACTAGATTTCGTAAGACGAATCCAACAGTGAAGTCTGTTTCATCGTCCGACCTCTAGAAAAATTCAAGTTTGCAACCCGTACCGTAGTGACAAATTACCGTGTTGTCATTTTTCATAAAAAGTTTAAATTTTACCCGAGTTTTATAATGTATATATATATATATATATATATATATATATATTTTGGAAAGTGATTTTGTTTTCTAATTATATTTAATGTACCTTGATTCAAGCTTGTTTTTTTTTTTTTAGGAAAATGGTTTTATTTGCAAATTAATTTAATATCCGAATAATGTAATAGTGTACAAAAACAGTGTAACAAATACACTATAACAAAAACAATGTTCAGTAGTTTTGTGTATGTGGGTAACAAATTCGAAACGAAGGTGGACTATTTTGAATGAAATTATATGAAACTATATGTTTGACAAAATGTATTAGTACAATATTTTGTGTAAATAGTTTGTTACACTGTTATTGTTATACTATTACATTTTTATTGTTATACTGTTACATTTTTATTGTTACATTGTTATTGTTATATTATTACACTATTCAAATATTAAATTAATTTGAAAATAAAACCATTTTTTAAAAAAAAATGTATGAATCAAGGTGCATTAAAAGATAATTCAAAATTTAGATAAAAGATTTAACAACAAGTATACACATACATACATACAAAAATGCATATATAATATATATATATATATATATATATATATATATATATATATATATATATATATATGTTTAATGCACCTTTTTTCAAAGAAAATTGGTGCATTAAATACGCATGGATTAATGGAGGGAAAAATGTCACAAAAAAATCAGTAGAATTCAAATAATGTACTTAGATACAAATAAATATCAAAATTAAAGACTTAATTATCCAATATTTTTTTATGCATTTTTTTACAATTAAGTCAAATTGAGTGTACCTCCTTACAATTTCCCCGATTATATAAGATAACTGTTTTGGACAGCGCCAGCACAGGCCTGGCCGAACACAAAAGCGGGCCTAGCCTTAAATTTGTTTAGATGGGCCGGCAAGCCATGGGGCAGTTGTGCACACCAGGGGCTTTTCTGTCATTTCACAAGCAAACTCAAATCTAAATTCAAACGTGGCCACCTCGCATTGGAGGAATGACAAACCAGAGACTCAACCCCGCTACCAAAAACCCTCATAAAACGCAAAAAAAATTGAAATAGAACTGAAAGAAACAGAAAAGAGGAGAGAGAAAACACACACACACTCTCGATCTGTTGTCTCGCTCACTTTCTCCGTCTCTCACCTTAAATTCCTTCAATTCACCATCCAATTACACCCTAACCCTAGATCCCCAATCTCTCTGTCTCTCTCCCTCTCCCTCTCCGTAGTTATCTATATATATATATATATAGATATCCATCTATACGTATAATTATCTGTATCTATAGGTCTGTGTGGGGGTGATCCACATGGCGGCTATAAAGGAGGTGAACAGATCGGCGTCGGTGGCGTTTGCACCGGATGGACCGTTCCTGGCGGCGGGGACGATGGCTGGGGCGGTGGACGTGCACTTCAGTTCTTCGGCAAATCTCGATATCTTCAAGCTAGATTTCACTTCCGTCGATCGTCAGCTTCCGTTGGTCGGGTCGGTGCCGAGCTCAGAGCGGTTTAATCGGCTGACTTGGGGGAAGAATCCTACGAATTCAGAGGAGTTCTCTCTCGGTCTCATCGCTGGTGGATTGGTTGATGGCAACATCGGGATTTGGAATCCTAACGCTCTGATCTGGTAGTGATATTGTTCGTTGTTGTTTTTTAGATTTGAAATGTTGAATTTCGGTGGAGATTTGATTGGGCTGTGTATAGAACTTATGATTTTCGATGCGTACACCGCTGGATATAAATAAAGAAAAAAAAACCAAGTGTTTTGGTGAATTTTCCAAGTATTTTTATTTGGATTGATATGCACAGGCAGGAAAAAACGAACTGCATGTGGTAGGAGAGGATTTTCATGTTCTTTGACCGAAAAAAAATGAATTTCACAGGCTGACTTATCCATTATAGATTATTCTGTTATAAAAATGGATCTTTGTAGAATTTAATTCTCCATATTTGACTTTCACTAATTTATCAGCAATGTGGCCTTTCTCATTTGCACAAAGATGGGTTTTATTTAATTTCACAATGCCACAGTGTGTCTGTAAACTGTATTGAAATGTATCTCCCTCATCTGCTAATTAGTCATATAGTCTTATTTCCAGTCATATTTTTGTAAAATAAGATGTTAATATGGCGTTGCATACATGAATACTATTTAAATCTCTTATGAGTTATGGCATTGAAACGCAATAGGAAGTAATATGAACATGTATGCATGGGAGAATAGTAGGGCTTTCAAGGTTCCCCTCCAAAAAGACGACTTTGATGATTCATTTTTTTGTGAAAATGTAGTAGAGATTTGTGATGATCACTAATGCTATCATTTTTCATTATATCTTTTGGGAACATAGGGTAAAAAGCTATCCAACTAATTACGAGTGTATGAACATAACTATAGTTTGTAGTAAGTATCTTGAAAAGATTAATATGAATGTGACATGCTTGTCTCATTCCAAAATTATAAGGTTCAATAGTGTTTCCCCCCAAACTGCACTCAACAAAGCATGTCAATCATTTCCTTGAACCAAAACCAGAAAGAAACTATGAGATTGGACAATTTTTTTTCTTTTAATCTTGACATTGCTTGTGGTTGGTTTTTCTGTTGATTAATGAGAAAGTGAAGTTATTGGATTTCATAGCCACATATTTTATATGAATTGATTGTTTTCTTCAAATGAGCAAAAAAATATTTTTGCGAGGTTAGGTGTAGCCGAGTATGTGGATTATCTATAAGACATTAGATGTTTGCACATGACTATGCGGTCTAATGCAATAAATGAATGCATTGCCATTTTTTTTTAATTTAATGTGTTCAACATTCTTCTCCCCCCTTGCCCCATCCCATGGCGCCCGCGTGGGCAATAATATGTGTGTACATTGTGAAATTCATGTGTTGTGCAAGTATTTGTGAATTATGGTTCAGCGTGTGCTGTCTCCTTTTTTAGACAATAGAGCAGTGCATTACATTTTGAAGCCCCATATTATCTCATGGTGGACATATCATTCATTGTGTTATATTGCACTTAAGATTTGTTGGTTGTAAATAATGGAATTTCTATTTACCAAGGTAAATAAATGTTGATAATTGATTCTGCTACTTTTGTTGGTACCGTTGTTGCTATATCATCTGTTCTAAAATGTGACCAAATAATTTTCTTAATTTTGTGGACCCCTGATGTGATGTTTCATTTTTTTACTTCTTCAGCTCTGAGGCAAGTGAAAGTGCACTCATACAACATCTTTCAAGGCATAGAGGGCCTGTAAGTCACCATATCTTGCATCTAATGCTTTGTTTTCTGCTGGTGCCTTCTTTACTTGACGTCTGATGATAGCATGACGTTGTTGCATCTACGTTGGATATCCTTTTCAGGTTCGAGGCCTGGAATTTAATTCTCTTTCGCCTAACCATCTTGTGTCTGGGGCTGATGAAGGTGAAATCTGTATATGGGATATCTCAAAACCTGCAGAACCTACCCATTTTCCTCCTCTCAAGGTCTGGGGTCATATTTTGTCATTTCTTGTGCATGATGTTACCTTAACAACGCTGTCCATTAAGTTACATTTTTCATGAAATAATACCCAATTTACACTTTGTAAGGTAAAATGTATTCAGCCAGTAGTATTTACCTTAGGAAATGGTTGCTTGATTAGTGGAGTTTTAAGTGCTACTTTTCTAAAGGAGTGGTTGATACCTGAACTGTCAATGCTTCGTTGCTTGAGAATCATTTGATTCCCTCTTTTCTTTTTTTTTTTTTTTTTTTGGGTTAGACACTATGACAGGGGAGGGGAACAACGGGGTTTGAGCCTACGATCTTAAGATCCATTTGGGGACTGTGACCATTAGGCCTACCGCTTACCTCCATTTGATTCCCTCATTTCTCTTTGTAATTGACGCCGAATGCATTTTTAGTTTACTTTTTGTTTCGGGAGGTTGACATCATGTTGTTCTTTAATTCTTGCTTTTGGATCAGCTTTTCTTTCTTTGTTTGTTGCAGTTGGAAGGAGCACAGTATGAGAAGTTTTGAGAGTTCTGCTCTCATTCTCTGGGAGATTATTTTCTTAATTATTTTTTTTCACTTCACCTCAATGTGGTTTGCCTGCTTTCATATCTGTATGTATTGAAATACTTGGTGTATGGTTTACACACCTATGTATCACGTTATAGTTATACATTGTGAGAGTGCATAGCGTGGCATTTCCCCCCTTTGGTGGTGGATTGTGAGATTTAAGGCTTTAATTTGCAAGCTTGTCAAGATCTATTCTTATGTTAATCGCATAATTAGCTATTAGTTATTAGATATAGTGAGAGTAGAGAGTTTTGGAAACTATATATCTGAAGATGAAAAGTTAAAGGTTGAATTAATTTGGAGGTTTGCATTTGCATATCATGGTCCAAGGTCGTGATATTGACCATCAAAGGTATTGAGACTAGTGACGATGTCATAGCACGGTATTGGGTGATATCTATGAAATTATAGACATAAAAAAATATTGAAGATGAAGATTACTTGGACAATTCAGTTGGGTCATCCAAAATGTTTGGTTTGAGTGAGACTTGTAAAAAGAAAGTGTATTGGTCTTGGAGAGGAAGGTGTTGTTCCAGCTACGATTTACCGAGTCATTCCAGCATCAGTCGAGACTTTGTAGCATCTTGCATAGCAGACGACTTCCTTTTAGAAAACATTATTATGTCCTAAAGCTGGAAGTATGTAACATTTTGGGACATGGTACTACTACTTTCAGCACAGGGACAATTTGATCTGGAATAGGCTTGGGAATTATCGTATTCTAGTTGTTCATTGTAGTTTAATTTCCCAGAGAATTATTCGTTATCTAGTGTTGTGCATGCAAGTCGTGCGCCTGCATGTACTGGACAGATTATTCAGCTGCTTTGAGACTTCTACTGTTCTGCATACCGGTAGGCCCCCCCCCCCAATTCACTGTCTAGAAAAAGAGAAAAAGTTCCATCTAATTTTTTTCCAGTCAAATTTCAGTTCAGGAGAGGGTTATTGTATCAGATACAAGTGCTCTAGCCCAAAGTCCGTATTATGGAAGGTCAAGCCAAGCATCTGTTTTAAAGCGATGTGCCATTAAAATGGTATCTTTGATCCTTGGACTATGAATTTGGATGAACTCTGGTTTAAACCTGACCCTAAGTTGGGCCAATTATCAGAGCCAGCCAACTCCTAAAGCAATGACAAACAATAAGACATTCGTATTTTTGAGGTTCACTTTAAGACATGAGGCTTATGACGCGCAAATCTTTTTGGGAGATATTTGCCATACTTATACTTGGGGCACCTGACGGACTGCAACCTTTATGCAGGGTAGTGGATCCGCGACACAGGGAGAGATTTCTTTTTTATCTTGGAATAGCAAGGTCCAACATATATTAGCATCCACTTCATACAATGGGACAACTGGTGAGGAAGGCAATTATCTATGTCATTAGTCATTTATTGCCTTTTACAGTGTGAATACTATTTGTTCTATGTATTTTCAGTGGTTTGGGACTTGAGGAAGCAAAAACCAGTAATAAGGTAACTCTTTTGCAATTATGAAAATTACGCTAGGCAGTTTTGCATGATGAAATGTAATTTTTCTCTTCTTAGGTAGCAGTAACTGATATGAACTGGCGAATTAACAGTTTTGCAGATTCAGTAAGAAGGCGTTGCTCCGTTTTGCAGTGGAATCCTGATTTTGCCACTCAACTTATTGTTGCTTCAGATGAAGATAGCTCACCTTCATTGAGGGTAATGTTTTTTCTTTTGATTTCCTACTGACTTCTACATGTAAACATGCTACTCTGGTAATTTGCATCAATATTCCATACAGATCTGGGATATGCGGAACACAATGTCACCATTGAAAGAGTTATTGGGCCACACTAAAGGTACACTATTCAGCAAAGTGATGCTTTATGAGTTGCCCTTTAAGAAATTGCTGATAGTCTTCAATGATTTGGACAGTCTTTTGTTCTATCTGGGTGGTTTCACTCTCTCTCTCTCTCTCTCTCTCTCACACACACACACACACACACAACACACCCAGACAGATGTGAACACACACCATCACAACACCTACACACAAAAAGAAGAGAGAGGGAGAACTCATCGGCTTATAATACAGGGAAACTGTATTGGTCAGAAGACCACCATGTACAGAAAGGGTTTCATGGGTATTTTTTTGTCCGTTGAGTGTCTTATGATTTAAAATCGAAATGATTACTTAGTGTCATTTCTCATCAATCAACCTTAGGATTGAGTAATATCCATGCGTTCATTACACCGAACACTTTTGGTATTGGACCCTTGAAATATGTGCGACCTTATATGCATGAAACATCTGTGGCAGTATTGGTCTATTTCCATTGCTTGCATGGTTTCTTTCCAACCAATGAATTATTCTGTCTTTACGACTGAAGAATGAATTATAATCATTTATGAAATGCTGCCTTGGTTCTTACTTTCTATCAATGGTTGTAAAAAGTTCAGAAATATCAATCAATGGCAGACTGGTGGTTGGAACAGTTGATGCAACGATTGATATAGGGTATTTGGAGCTTAATCAACTCTTGTTACATGGGTTGGAGTGTTTGTTACCAATTTCTTGGGGACGGTGACAGAATTATATTGGAAATGTTGCGTATAGTTATTGAAATGGTTGATCCCCATCCTAGTCTCTTGTTTCGTTCCTATTCGTTGGAATGATTTAGTCTGTCGACTAGTTGATCTCTTAATTTGACATTGTCAGCAAATTTGTTGGCTTCCTTCCAATCTTTCCCATTTTTGGCGTAAATTTTATATTACAGAGAGTATGTCACTTTTTGGTGCCATTGTGAACAAGATGGCAGCCATGTTTGATACTCCGCTGGTTTCAAGTCTCAGAGCTGCTTTGTTCAGATAAAGTGCAAGAATAATTGTATACCCTAACATTCCACAGTTGTTGGATTTAGTTATTGTTCAACTTGGAAAAGTGTACTTTCACCCATTTATCAAGATTTGTTATTTGAGATTAGAAGCGCATCTTCTAAAACTCTTGTTCGAACATGTTAGTAAAACAAGACTGAAAACAAAGTCGTCTCTGATTCAAGTTTTGGGAGGCTTAGAGATAAGCATTAATGCCCAATCATTTCTCCCTTTAAATTTGGTTCCTTGGACGGTTTGGGGTTTCAGTTTTGGTAGGGTCTGGTTTGACTTGCTGTAACTCTTCTTTATAATTACCTTCCTTACCTTAACTGATTTAGAGATCTGGGACTTGATTGCCGAAGAATGGTGACAGAGGAAAAGAAAGAAAAATGGCCTGAGGAATCAAACCTGCGGTTTTTAGGCTATAAGATCCAGGGGAGGGTGAAATCTCATAACCAGTAGTAATGTTTAAATTCTCTTTTCATTCGCTGCTTCAGAACACTTTCGGTATATCACTGATGACCAATTTGGAAGCTGAGGTGAATTTACCTGAGAGGCAGGTAACATTTCCACCTGGACCACGGTAAGATTCACAAAGACTTAATAAAATTGGCCATATTCATTCATGATCCTTTTAAGAAAGGACTACACTTGCTAAGTGCACACTGCATCTTAGAACTTAAGTTATCGCATTTCACTGGAATCAATGTATAGTATACACAATCTATGTTATCAGTGAAGCTTAGACGACATAAAGTGGTATATGATTTCTCATTCAGCAGTATTGTATTCTAAGTGAAACATCTATCAAATTTTGACTTCCTTTCTTTTCATTCAATGTTATGCTATTATTTTGGGTTAATTAAAAAGGTATACATTTGGGATTTTTTTTCTTTTCTTTTATTGGGAATGGTAACTGGAAGTGGAAACTTTGGCTTAAGTAGTCCACTTAATGTTTACCAATCCTCCATGCTTTTGTGTTCAGAATCTATCCCTTCTATTCATCCTTCAGTTTAATTTGTATGCGGTCTTGATTACAGTGTTTCACGCATTATTTCCTTGTGCATCTTATGCCAGGTGTTGTTGCAATGTCATGGTGTTCCTATGACAGTTCCTATCTTCTTACATGTGCTAAAGATAACCGCACTATTTGCTGGGACATGACCACTGCAGAGGTATATGAATTCATTAATTGCTTCAGCGTTATTAGTCAAATGTGTTATTTGTTGAACCTCTTCATTCTGTCTCACTCTGTGTGTGTGTGTTGATCCTTTTTCGTCTTGTCCCAAGATTTTCTGCCATTTGTGGGGCTGGGGATGTTCAGAGATTTTCAGCCTTTTGATTTTGTGACTCTACTTTAATGTTTGATTTTGTCCAGATTGTTTCTGAATTGCCAGCTGGAACCAACTGGAATTTTGACATACACTGGTACCCAAGAATACCCGGGGTCATATCAGCATCTTCATTTGATGGAAAAATTGGCATTTACAATGTTGAGGTTAGTTTCTTTGTATGCTGATATGTCTTTGTTAAAGAAATAGTTTCGTGTGGTTCTTTGGATTTCCTTGGCAGCTTGGCAATTATTTTAATGTACGGGGGTGGTGGTAGACCTTGTTTACTATCATACGGTGTCTTTTGCATGTTATAACGAGTCATGCAATGGTAAGCTGTACAAAATTGTACACAAACATATCACATTAACTGGTGTTTTCTCAACTGGCCATATTATGGAACTGGTACATTTGGCCTGGAAATATCTATTATTTGGTATGACAATAACGTGTCATTATGGTGGATCAGATGTATCTTGGATGAAAAAATAAGCTTGATAACAGGCGTAAAGTAATTTTTGTGCTTGCCTTTTTTTTTATAGTCTAGGCCAAAAAAAGGGATGGAAGAAGTATATATGTGCATTCATGTATATATATCCAAAGTTGTCAAAATGTGTATCATAGAGTGTATTCTTTATAAAAATAATGGATGGTGTATGGTAACGCATTGTGTATCGTAATATACACTTCATTTGAAAAAAAATATAGTAACATTTATCATTTTGTACGATGTGTCTTTGCAATAGCAATTGAAAGAGTCCTATAAAAAAATAGCGATTGAGAGAGATACAACCCTTGGTCTGCATGACAAAAGATGAAAATACAGCTAGGGGTTGTATATTTGCAGAAGAAGAAGAATAAGAAGCAAGAAAAGCAAAAGAGGATCGCAAGAAATGAAGACGATGCGTGCTTCGTCTAATTAAGATTGAATCGAAATGGAAAAAATAACCTACAAGATGCGCCATGGTTTCATTGTTTAGGGTAAAAAAATGACGTTCTTATTCTATTCGAAGTGAAAAGTAAAAAAATTGTTTTGCACGTTTTTTTCACTCTATTGATAGAATGATACATACGATACTAGCGACATTGTGTGTATCTGGGTATATATCTGATTCTGTTCAAGTCTCCATAGATGCTTTCCATATTGCACCCCACTTAATGTCATGCACAATTATTCTTTTATATATCTTTCTGACTTAGATTTGGGAGAACTTGAGTGTGTGATTGGCCTTTTTGAATTTTTGGTAAACTATATCTGTTAACTTGGTATATATTCTTATTCCAGTTTTTTTTAATCCTTTTTGCTTCAGGGTTGCAGCCGATTTGGTGTTGGGGAGGGTGATTTTGGCACAGGTGATGTAGTTCTGAGATGATTCCAATGTTGTCTTGTATGGTTTCTCAAAAAAGACTGCTATTAAGATCAGTAGATAAGAACACATGGTCCACATCTGGTCAACCTACTTTTATATCTTAGGTGCAATCCATGCACTGTTGACCTTCAATTTCAGTTTAATTCAATACCCAGTTGATCTTTAGTCAAAGTAGTCTGCCAGCTAGTATTTCCTTTTGTAATCTTTAGTTAAGGTATGGATCTAGAATTTTGAATTAAATATTTACGTTTTATGCAATTATTTTCCTTATGTTTTAAAGTTATATTTTTTTGAAATTATAGATTGATTTAATTATTTTTAGTAAAGTTTTATGCACTGTACAATTAATTATTCATTAACTTGATTGAATTCTTGGTATGATTAATGCTTTTAATTCCTTGCGAGTTTCATAGAACTAATTCTTCAATTCTTATTTTCAAATTAATCGAATCTTGTGTTTTCAAAAGTTAAATCTTCTGGTTGACTGGACTGACGTTGCAAATCAACTGAGATAATTGTAATTGCATAAATATAGATATTTGGTGAACATGAATAGATCCAGATTCCAAAACTAAAGAGTCGTTTTTCCAATTGATAAATCCCTTTAAAATTTTATGCTTTTATTTTATATAACAATTTCAACTTTCAAAATCATATTTTACCTATTCTTCCTTTATTTAATTTTATAATTTCTTTGATTTTTGTGGTACGACCTTAGACTTTCGAGTATTTACTACTTTTTGACCACCTGTACTTGGGTGCACCTATTCAGCCGAAAACTGAAAGTCGAAAGCTGAAAGCCACCTTTTTAGTAACTTGGAAAGGGTATTGCCAACTATTAGCCAAGTAAGAGAAGAAAGAACCTGTCTTTCTTACTGGCTGGCTAACTAGATAACTAGTCAATAGATCACGGAAATCAGATTGCAATCACAACCAATCTGCTATGTTAGCTGCTCAAAATGTGGTTTTTTGCTCATATTCTTTTTTTTCCTTTTTTTTTTTCTAATTGCCTTCTAGTTACATCATAGTTTTCAGAACACGCTACTGCTATAGTTAATTGCATATTGGAATAAATGTTCCAAAATGTTTGACACTTTCCTTCTTGACACTAAAGTGATCTGCGTATCGAAACAGATGTTCAGAACTAACGTACACTTACGTTCTTGAACATTAAAATTGGCAATCCATAAGTTTAACATGAATATTCCAAATGTGACAAGTTGTTCGTATGTAAATATAGAGCTATTGCAATAAATATGTTCTATATCACCAATCTTCGTTTTTCAAAAGAAAACCTCTTAAATATTGGAGTACCTCAACACTGTTTCTACCTGTGGGATAGATGATAACCGACATATACCGTTCCTGTTCCCATCCTGCATACTGGCACATTTACATTCTAGTTAACAACGTAGTTAAATTTTAGTATGCAACTCACTATTAGTAAGAAAATTTGTAAGGATATAATTTTAGTCAAATTATTAGGAGTGTGTACTCCAAGACACAATTTCCATTATAGTTGTTGAAGAATAAATACTTAAGTTACACCCTCCTGAACAACTTAAATTTTTAGAGTAGATGATTGTTGAACATGGTATCAGACCAGGATATCCTGTGTTTGAATCTTGCTAACATCTTGTTAATATTTTCACGTAGTATGCCCAAAATCCATAGTTTTTAAACCGGGTCCAGACACCAACCCGGAAAAGGAACCGGGTCGGGTTACTGGTTCAACCGTGGGTCAACCGGTCATATAATTAATAATACTAATAATAATAAATATACTAAAAATTTATAATAGTTACAAAAATAGCATATTTGATGTTATAGTAAATGAAATAAAAAGACAAAAAATATCTTCAAATCATTAATTTGCTTACATAATTGATATAATTTGACAAAGCATAACAATTCACTAAGAAATATTGAATATTTAGTATAAATAGTAATAATTGATGCCTAAAAAACCAAAAGGAAAATTGATAGAAAAAACAATGACAGTTGAAGTGCACTACCTATCCCACATTGGAAACTCACAGGGAGTAATGAGAACTGTGTGCCTATAAAAGTGCTGCACTTCTTCACTTCTTTTTGTTAATGGTCAAATCTTGCTGGCTTAGCATCAGCTCCTTTGAAGTTTGGTTTGAATATTTTATGTTTGAGCCTTGAAGTTTAGTTTTAATACTTTATGTTTGAGTTCCAATATAAAAATGGATTTGTTGGATTTGTTGAAACTGGACCGGTTTTTACGGGTTCATGAAAATTGACCGGTTTGAACGGTTCTCGAACGGGCCATTTGTTGGNCTTTTTTTTTTTCTAATTGCCTTCTAGTTACATCATAGTTTTCAGAACACGCTACTGCTATAGTTAATTGCATATTGGAATAAATGTTCCAAAATGTTTGACACTTTCCTTCTTGACACTAAAGTGATCTGCGTATCGAAACAGATGTTCAGAACTAACGTACACTTACGTTCTTGAACATTAAAATTGGCAATCCATAAGTTTAACATGAATATTCCAAATGTGACAAGTTGTTCGTATGTAAATATAGAGCTATTGCAATAAATATGTTCTATATCACCAATCTTCGTTTTTCAAAAGAAAACCTCTTAAATATTGGAGTACCTCAACACTGTTTCTACCTGTGGGATAGATGATAACCGACATATACCGTTCCTGTTCCCATCCTGCATACTGGCACATTTACATTCTAGTTAACAACGTAGTTAAATTTTAGTATGCAACTCACTATTAGTAAGAAAATTTGTAAGGATATAATTTTAGTCAAATTATTAGGAGTGTGTACTCCAAGACACAATTTCCATTATAGTTGTTGAAGAATAAATACTTAAGTTACACCCTCCTGAACAACTTAAATTTTTAGAGTAGATGATTGTTGAACATGGTATCAGACCAGGATATCCTGTGTTTGAATCTTGCTAACATCTTGTTAATATTTTCACGTAGTATGCCCAAAATCCATAGTTTTTAAACCGGGTCCAGACACCAACCCGGAAAAGGAACCGGGTCGGGTTACTGGTTCAACCGTGGGTCAACCGGTCATATAATTAATAATACTAATAATAATAAATATACTAAAAATTTATAATAGTTACAAAAATAGCATATTTGATGTTATAGTAAATGAAATAAAAAGACAAAAAATATCTTCAAATCATTAATTTGCTTACATAATTGATATAATTTGACAAAGCATAACAATTCACTAAGAAATATTGAATATTTAGTATAAATAGTAATAATTGATGCCTAAAAAACCAAAAGGAAAATTGATAGAAAAAACAATGACAGTTGAAGTGCACTACCTATCCCACATTGGAAACTCACAGGGAGTAATGAGAACTGTGTGCCTATAAAAGTGCTGCACTTCTTCACTTCTTTTTGTTAATGGTCAAATCTTGCTGGCTTAGCATCAGCTCCTTTGAAGTTTGGTTTGAATATTTTATGTTTGAGCCTTGAAGTTTAGTTTTAATACTTTATGTTTGAGTTCCAATATAAAAATGGATTTGTTGGATTTGTTGAAACTGGACCGGTTTTTACGGGTTCATGAAAATTGACCGGTTTGAACGGTTCTCGAACGGGCCATTTGTTGGACCGATCCAATTAAGTAACCAGCCCGGCTCAGGCACCGGTTTTCCGGGTTGACTTGCCGGTCCGGGCTGGGTTTTAAAACGGCCAGGTTTTAAAACACTGTCAAAATCTAACCAGCACAAGTGTTGAAGTATAAATACTCAAGTTACCTCTTCTCTAACAACATAAGCTTTTAGAACAGATGGTTGTTTGTCAATAATCTTATGTTTAAATGGAGGAGATTGGATGATGTCTTTGCTATAGGATTATGACGTGTTACCCTAATACTATTCAGTATGGTTAACTTTTTAAGGCATCAGAAACTCCTTCATACCTCGACTGAGTGGTGTGTTATCAATAGACAAAATATTCTAAGGCTGATTTATTTGTTGGAGAAGTAAGAGGGATGAAACTTTTTAAGACATCAAAAACCACTTCATGCCTGTATTATCAAGGAACAAAATGTTCCCAGGCTCATGCATGCATCGGGAAAATAAGAGGGACGAAGCTGGGCAGGACTTTATTGCAGAGGACTTAGTCTGTCATAGTTGATAAAATAAGGGAGAGACATTTGCATTTGTTTGATTTGTGCAGCTCCTGTCAGGAGTGCTATACTGAGATCCCGGAATGATTAGAGAACATGTTGGATTTAGACCAAAGTATCTAGTTGATGCACTAAAGGTGGAGGCTAGCGTTCTTAAGGGTGTTAAAATAGGTTGTATTAATCATTTAACAGTGGGACAAACTTCAGGTTGTCTAATCAAGCAAACTACAATTATTTTCCCTTTGCTTCCATTGTATATGCATTTTTGACATTTTGCGACACTTTTTTCCTCTTCATTCAATTTTGTTTTTTAGTGGTTGTTCTGATATTGTATCTGCTTGTGCAGCACCTTTGAGAGCCCCAAAATGGTATAAACGGAAAGCAGGAGTCTCATTTGGCTTTGGAGGCAAGCTTGTTTCATTTCACTCTACAGATGCTTCAGCTGGATCTTCAGAGGCATGCTTAGTGGATTTCATACAACTATGTAGTTATATTCCCTTCTCATGCCTTCGTTTGCTTATAACTCCCTGTGTTCCAGGTTCATTTGCATAACGTTCTTACTGAACAAAGTCTGGTGAGTCGCTCTTCTGATTTTGAAGCTGCAATACAAAATGGAGAGAGATCTTCGCTGAGGGTTTTATGCGATAAAAAATCTCAAGAGTCTGAGTATGTTTTCTAGACGAGAAAATGAAATTACTTTCTGTTTCCTTCCTCTATTATGATATGAACTGACCTACTACTACAAAAATTTATATTTCATTGAGTTGTCTGGGCAGATCTGAAGATGAGAGGGAAACTTGGGGCTTCTTGAAGGTAATGTTTGAAGATGATGGAACAGCAAGGACAAAGCTGCTCACACACCTAGGTTTCAGTCTACCTGCTGAAGGAAAAGATGCTGTGCAAGATGATCTCTCCCAGGAGATAAGTGCTCTTGGTCTAGAAGAAAGGGTAGCAGATAAAGAAGGATATGTGGAAGATAAAGAAACCACCATTAGCCCTTTAGATAATGGGGAAGATTTCTTTAACAATCTTCCCAGCCCTAAAGCTGATACACCTGTATCAACTTCTGGTAATAACTTTGTTCGTGGAGGCCCTGTTCCTGCTGGGGAAGAGATGCAACATGAGTTGGATGGACAAGAGGAAACCATTGATCCTTCATTTGATGATGATGTTCAACGTGCCTTGGTTGTTGGGGACTACAAGGGAGCTGTTGTACAGTGCATAACAGCAAATAGAATGGCTGATGCGTTAGTTATTGCACATGTTGGTGGTGCTTCCTTGTGGGAGAAAACCCGTGATCAATACCTTAAGATGAGTCATTCCTCTTACCTGAAGGTAGCCTTTCTTCTTCTCATTTGCTTGGGCGTGGTCAAACCATTGCTTGTTATGATCTTCAGTAGTTTATTGGTTTTATATTATAATCTGAGATCTTTTATATGGTAATTGTAATATAGTGATTGTTTAGGTATATTCTGAGCATTGGTTATTTCTTTTACATCTTCAGGTTGTTTCTGCAATGGTGAACAATGATGTCATGAGCCTTGTAAACACCAGGCCCCTGAAGTCCTGGAAAGAAACACTCGCTCTCCTCTGCACTGTATGTTTCTCAACTTCAGAGGATGAAGTTATGAACTATGTAACTTGGCAAACCCGTGCATTCATTTTACATTGACATAGATTTGAACTACACTTCACAAAAGAATTGAGGTTGTCCCAGCCACCCTCCTTTTCTTTTTTTTTTTTTTTAATGCTTTTGGGACAGGGAGGGGGGAGAGCTTCCTCCATTGCTTTTTTTTTTTGTTTTGGTTATTCTATGCATTATATTATTTATGTGGGCATTTTACTCATTAAGTTTTGTTGATCATGAAGCTAAGAAGATAATAACGGTATTGTTGCATCCTATGCATATGTTAGAATTCTCTTGAGTTTTACTTATCATCATCGACAAACAGTTTGCACAGAGAGAGGAATGGACTTTGCTGTGCGACACACTTGCTTCCAGACTTATGGCTGCTGGCAATACATTAGCTGCAACTCTTTGTTATATTTGTGCTGGAAATATCGATAAAACTGTGGAAATTTGGTCGAAGAGTCTGGCGACTGAGCATGATGGGAAGTCTTATGTTGACCTTCTTCAGGTAATTATACTACTTTCAAATGTTCTAAATTATGTNTTTTTTTTTTTTTTTTTTTTAATGCTTTTGGGACAGGGAGGGGGGAGAGCTTCCTCCATTGCTTTTTTTTTTTGTTTTGGTTATTCTATGCATTATATTATTTATGTGGGCATTTTACTCATTAAGTTTTGTTGATCATGAAGCTAAGAAGATAATAACGGTATTGTTGCATCCTATGCATATGTTAGAATTCTCTTGAGTTTTACTTATCATCATCGACAAACAGTTTGCACAGAGAGAGGAATGGACTTTGCTGTGCGACACACTTGCTTCCAGACTTATGGCTGCTGGCAATACATTAGCTGCAACTCTTTGTTATATTTGTGCTGGAAATATCGATAAAACTGTGGAAATTTGGTCGAAGAGTCTGGCGACTGAGCATGATGGGAAGTCTTATGTTGACCTTCTTCAGGTAATTATACTACTTTCAAATGTTCTAAATTATGTGGTCTTGTAATACTCGTACTTTTCTTTCTTTTTGTCCTTTTTCTTTTTGGGTCTTCACGCAGTTAAGCTAGAAAGTTGAAACCATTGAATTATTCTGGTAGGATTTAATGGAAAAGACTATAGTCCTTGCTTTGGCAACCGGGCAGAAGCGATTTAGTGCTTCAGTGTGCAAGCTTGTTGAGAAATATGCTGAAATATTGGCAAGCCAAGGGCTTTTAACAACAGCTATGGAATACTTAAAGCTCATGGGGACTGAGGAATTGTCTCCTGAACTTACGATCTTACGAGACCGAATTGCTCTCTCTACAGAACCTGGTATGTATCATTGGTTACATTTAGTGTGCAGCATTGCATATGTTCTTTTGTAATTGTCTGGTGGTGTTTAGGTGTGACTGGAAATTCTCATCCTAATCCTGAGTTATGTTAGGTGTAATTTGTTTTAGGGTTTACCTGACATTATTCATTCTTGTCTGAAGTGGTTCATCAAATGTTTCACACTGATTGTATTCTCTAGGGTTCTACTCATAAAAAGAAGATTAACTTGGTCAGTAATAATTGTTTCAAGTCTAATATAAGCCATAGGTTGTTTCCAGTCTGGTATATATGAGGAAGTGATGAGCACATTGTTTTGTTTGTTTAAATTTTAGTCATATTTGATCTGTTATGTCTTTGTCCACTTGTTTATGGTTGTTAATATATTTAATGATGTAGTTGACACTACTACTGTTTAGGTGGCGTGCTACCGTATCAATCCTAAACAGGACTATTTAATGTCTTGTGGTTTCACTGCAGCATGTCATACTCATACTGAGCTCCAGTTGCATACATGTATTCACATTTAGGACCAAAAATTGGTATTAATTAGGAATTCTTTATGTTTTTGTTTGTAATTGATTTGAAGACTGGCTTTCCTTTAATTTATTTTGTATAGTCCTCACTTCTCAGCTTTCCTCTGCATCCAAGAAAATGTTACTTACACTTTTCATCCTTAACTGTCAATGAGGATTTTTTGAAAATCAAAACTCAGCAATTATTCTTAATGTTTTTGGTGTTTTGCATTGATTTTTATTGTGCTTGCTGAAATTTTTTCATATAATTTATAACTTCTCATGTTATTAAGATTCCATGATTTCCTCTGAAGTTGGATAACTTTTGTTGCTACACTTGTGCATGTTTGTACATTGCAAAACCATTGACTTGTGGATTTAGGATAGTCAGGCATTTGCACATGTTCTCATTTAAAATAGCTGCTTTTTTTTTTCCAACTTACAATTTTCTATATGACCCCTTTGTAGTCTATATCCCCTTGTCTCACATCACCCCCATCCAAAAAGGATCAAAGCAAATGATTAAGTATTACTCGTAACACAAATACACTCTCTCACCCAGCTAACGTTTTTCAAGTTTTCAGGAGTGTGAGTGCTGCAATGGATAGTTGAGGTCTTAATCTGTCCCTAAGTTGAGGGGGTGAATGTGTAATTTATCTATTGTTCTATGATGATGTTTCGTGGATGAATCGACTGTTTTTTCCACTCCATGCAAGTAGAACTTGTTCTTCCCCTCCAGCCTGCTCCGAGTAGGCTCCATATTTCCTTAAGTTTTAGTGTTATTTGCTGAATTTCCTTGGGGTCACGCAGATAAAGAAGTACCCAACACTATGGCTTTTGAAAACTCTCAACCACAACCAGGAGCTGTATATGCCGCTGATCAATCCAGTTATGGGGCTGTTGATGCCTCTCAAAATTATTATCAGGTGGTTTTGTGTTGCATCTCTTCAATATTTATTAGTGGTTGCACTTGCCTTTTAACTGCACAATCTGCTGCCTTGCAATACTGACTCTTAAAGTTGCATATGCTTTATTTTCTTTTCAGGAAACAGCCCCATCGCAATTGCCGCCGAGCATTCCTAATAGTCCTTATGGTGATAGTTACCAATCCTCATTTGGTGCTCCCTATGGGAGAGGATATGGTGCTACTCCTGCCCCCTATCAGACTGCACAACAGCCTAATATGTTTATTCCGTCCCAGGCACCTCAAGTTCCCCCGGTATTGGCATGATTGGTTCTTTTGCTATTTTTATTGGTGATATAGTACTTCTATCCCATTATTGCTGCACTTAAAAAGTTTCTCCTTTTGTAAATGTGCTTGTTGGTTGCCTAAACGAATCAACTGTAGTTACTGTACCAGAACTAATATTATAATCAAGCTATCAGGCAGCATCCATCCCCCAAACCAGAACACCCACCCCCTCCCTCGGCTGCCTTACTAAAAAAGACCCAAACACAGGCACACCTGTTCCTTTCATTTTCTCCCAAAGTCTTTCTCATGTCTAATTAGAGAATGTCTAGAATCTCTAATAGATACTCTACATTGGTTAAAATTCTAGATTTTGATGACTTCTCAGCTTTTGCTTTAAGGGGGTTTTTTTTTTTTTTTGGGGGGGGGGTTGTTATTGCTTAAAGATACCAGAACAATGCTGGTCCTTATTGATCTGTGATATTCCTTTCCCTTTCAGGTGAACTTTGTTCAACAACCTCCTGCGCCAACTCAGCCTGCTATTACACCTTTCGTTCCTTCAACCCCTCCTGCATTGAGAAATGTTGAGCAATATCAGCAACCATCATTGGGTTCCCAGCTGTATTCTGTATGTATATCTGGTGTTTTCCCCACCTTCTCTGAAGTAATTCTTTTTAATGTGGCTGATATACTGAAATTTGCATTACGTAATTGTTTCAGGGGAATACTAACCCCAGTTATCAAGCTGGGCCTCCAGGGGTTGGTTCACTTGGTCCGATGACATCTCATGTGGGTCCAACTCCTGGGCATAAGATGCCTCCAGTTGCTGCTCCCACCCCAGCATCTAGGGGATTTATGCCAATTACAACTCCAGGAACACATAGACCTGGGATGGGTCCAGTCCAGCCACCCAATCCTACACAGTCAGTACCAGCGCAACCAGCTGTAGCTCCGGCAGCTCCCCCTCCTACTGTGCAGACAGCTGATACTTCAAATGTACCTGGTAATATTTTTACTTATTTAAATTTCATAAGTGGGATTTTGCAGTAATAGACAGAGCTCAAAGTGTCAATATCTCAGCCCACTGGAGTCGATGCTCAATTTATTTAAAAATCTTTGGATGGAAAGTTCAACATACTTTTGGTGTACACGCTAAAGCATGAAATCAATAATTTTATTATAGAAAATTTATGCACCCTAGTTGATGGCTTGATGCTAGACCTCTACGATTTGCAGTCTTTTTAGCATCTCATATTCGGTCACTGCCAGAAGAAAATAATTCTTTCCTCGATTTGTCCTCTTCTCTCTCTCCCCCCCCCCCCCTCTCTCTCTCTCTCTTTTTCAGCAAAACAATTGTTTTGGTACGGTTTAATATTAATGTATAATTCAATGTACCGATGAGACCAATTAATGGATACACTCACCTCCATGGTATCACTTCCTCACTCTTATACATAGACCATATCAACTAAATACACGTATGAACTATATAAATGAATTTTGCTTGAAATAATTGCACACATTTACATGAACCTAATTATTACATACATGTATTTCTTCATCATGCTCATACATGAACNCCCCCCCCCCCCCCTCTCTCTCTCTCTCTCTTTAAAAATATATATTTATGTATTTAATTTTTTTAGCCTAAGATGTTCTCTTTATACCTGTATACCTAAGTATCTAATAGGCATTTCGTGCTTCAGCTCATCAAAGGCCTGTGATCACAACCTTGATGAGACTTTTTAACGAGACATTCGAAGCATTGGGAGGTTCACGTGCAAATCCAGCTAGGAAGCGGGAAATAGAGGACAATTCAAAGAGAATTGGTGCCTTGTTTGCAAAGCTTAACAGTGGAGACATATCTAAAAACGCTGGTGAAAAGCTTGTTCTGCTCTGCCAAGCTTTGGACAATGGTGATTTCAGCACTGCCCTCCAAATCCAGGTACCACTATTTGCGATTATAAGTACTTCATGTAGAAGGGCAACTCTGAATTAGATATGCTTATGAAATTCTATTTTCTCTTTATCTATTCTGCCTGGTACAGGTACAACTCACCACAAGTGATTGGGACGAATGTAATTTCTGGCTAAATACACTCAAACGAATGATCAAGACGAGGCAGAATGTGAGATAAATTAGGAGAAGGCTCATTTCTGCCACCAGTATCCAAGTACCGATATGCTGTTCCTATCAGGTGTAGGGTTATTTTACGGACTGATTCCTTTTTTGTACACAAGAATTGGCACCTTCAGGTTGTGATTGCAGGGTTTTGGTCTTATCGTCCTCTTTAAATTTACCTTCCCCCAATATATCATATGGGTCTCAATTTCTTGATAGTTTTGAAAGCCAGCCAGAGGAGATAGTTTTCAAGATATTAATGGACTTTGTTGATTGTTTACATTTGATATTTGTCGTGTCGAGAAAATAGAATTTGGTTTTGGATTAATATATGCTTTTAGCTGTAATTTTTACCCTAAGCTTATTCAGTGAGCTGGCTTGTGCATTATCTTCTTTTTTGTTTTTTCGTTTTTGCCTCCTGGTTTGGTGTTTGTGAGGCCATTAATTTGTACTTTTTCATTAACTAAAACTAATAAGATGGGATTTATTATTTCTTATTTTTTGGGTGTATTTTTTTTTTGGTTCTTTTCCTTGTGTACTTTGATTTTGTTGTTTGTCCATGCTGGCTCTTATATTGAAGCGTGGTTATGAAAATAGCAGAAATATAGCTGGGTTTTAACAGTAAGAGCATCTTCAACCACGTTAAATAAAATAGTTATTTAAAATATATTTGAATATTGTATTCCCTACTTTAATTATTTATTTTTTAAAATTTACTCAAATCACGTTTTTTATTTTAACTAATTACTTTAATTAACTTTAACTAACTTTCACTAATATAATGCAATACCTTTATTCAATCACATAATTTTAACCCCAATCAATTACAAAATCTCACAACATGTTATGACTATGGGGTCACACTTTAAAATCAAAACGCCTTCAAAAAAAGGCAAATAAGTAAGATTTGATTATTACTAACCTAATTTGTTCATCATCTTTTTAAAGCCAGAGGAATCAACCAATCAAACAAACAAAGAAGGTTTGAAAATTAGAACACCAATTTGTACAAATTTTACAGGCAATGAAATAAGGAAAAAAAGAGCAAACCCAGATTAGAAATTCTAAAAATTGGAACACTTAGATAATGTATAAACAACAATATTGCAAATAAGATCTGACTTCCTACGTAAGCATATTGTATCCACAAATGAAAAGAACAAGAACAACAAAAAATGAAGGATAGAAAAGAAGGGAATGCCAGTGTATTTTCCCTTGAAGCAAGACGTGATTGGATCGAGAGAGAAGAGAAATTAGGGACGGAAAAGTTCATAGAGAGAGATAGACAGAGATCCATATTGGGTGAAGATGAAATTACAGTGAAGACAGTTTTGATGAACAACCCAAAATTGGGGGGAGAGAGCTCTGATGAGAGAGAGTCTTACTAGCCAGGACTGATGAGTGAGAATGGGGGAAGACAGATTAGCCAGTGAAATAGAGAGCCGGTTAGAGATAAATTTTTTGTATTGATTTAGCAAAATAATTAAAAATGGCATTTGTTAAGAACGTTGGAGTTGCTCTAACACCCACATTTCTTTATAACGGTAACGGTAGCTTCTTTGAAACTAGGACATTGACAAGGAATTCGGAAGAAGACCAACGAATTTTAGGGTTCAACCACCCTTGCAGGAGTTTAAAAACGAGATAAATTTCACCTCAAACAGATTATTTCTGTGCTAAAATTGAGGAGTAATGAGAGTAACAGTGAGATGGGTACTTGCAAAAATAAAATTTTAAATATTAAATGATGCCAGTAGATGTCTACCCTCGCTGGTCTTTCTGATCATTGACTGGCAGAAGGGTATCCGTTGAATATAAATCTAAACCAAAGGAGGGAAAGTGTAATTTCAAAACCAACGAGGGTAGATTTTGATATTTTTCTAAACAACTGGGCAGGTTACTGTAGTTTTCCCTAAAGAATATGTCTCCAGTATTGGCTATCTCTTTGTGAAAAGCTACAATGAGTATGAGCCCTTCCATTTGGCAGCAAGTCTGTCCAGGACCCCACAAAGTCGCAAGATGGTCCTTAGAGAAAGTCGTGGGAGCCCACGTCCAATGTTGTTTTTCTTGGTATCGTGGTCAAGGGGTTGGAGCAGTATACATGCACATCGATTAAATTTTTTTAAATTAAATTAATTCACTCCAATTAAATTTATTTGTACAAGCCGAAAAAGAATCAGATTTCCATAGTCACGACTCATTTGATTTTATTGTAAACATAATTAATTTTTATCTCTTATAACTTCAATTGTGCCTCTCTCTCTAACATGAAAAAGTGGTTGGGAAGGCCATGGAGAGGGGGAAGGGGTTACAAATCTAATGCACCACACGAATCTCAAGGATAATTCAAATGGTAATAGAGATGAATCGTAAACTTAGATGTCTAAAATTTAAATTTTAATAACTTTTTGAGGTTAGGTCATGAGAAATAAATTTCTTATGAATTCTCTAGTTTTGGCGTGAATAATTTCTCTTTGACTAAAACAGGAGTAGATTACTCGAAGTACACATGGTCCAAACACTCTTAATTATTGAACTAAAAAACACAAAATGTACTATTATAAATATAGTTCTGAATAATATATACTATTATAAAATATACCTTAGCAATTAAAAGTTTTGATTTACTATTTTGTCCCTATATAATAATATAAAGCCTACTATATCCTTCACTATTTAAATACTAAAATTACCATTATGTCAACCAGAATCTATCTATATGTATGTCTATATTTATTATATTGTACTACTAATTAAAGTACACTAATAAAAAAAACACTTTTGATTTTTATTAAACCCTTAAAAAATTCAACAAAGTCCAATTAGTACTATAATCAATCACACTCAATTATGACAATAAATAGCCTGTTTATTTATCACATGAGTTTCTTAAACTTGAATTCATGTCTTTCGTATTCTCATTGTCTTCTAAAAGTGGCTGGTGGATATACAAAGCTTCCGAACGTTTGGACTCTACAAATTCTAGGAATAATATTCAATGAATATATCAATGACTGATAAAAAAACTCTTCCATTTTCCTCTTCTTTGAAGGGCTCTCAATTGAAATCCTTCAAAGCTCCCC